CTCGCATGAAATCCAATATTCAGAGCCTTTAGTTTTGTCGTTGATTTATGAGACAGAGAGATAAAAGTTCTGGGTGGACGATGGAGGTTAAACTACAAGGTTGGCTGTTGGGCTTGGCTCGAAAGAGAGAAACAGGAAAACAAACAAGCGTTAGATTTAGAATGAAACCTAGTGGGCAAAGATAACAATTCAGCCCATATTTTCCCCGGCTAAGTGCCCGTTTATTTTATTTTGTTTATTGTTAAAGGAAACATTTACAGGCAAGCAAACTGACAGCTATCTGGACAGGCATAGAAGAAGCTGTCTGAAAGATTTTCTTTACAGTCAGAGAACTCTCCGTTAACGCTGGAGAATGGGTTCGTGCTCTATTAAAAATTAGGATTTGAAACGCTGATTTTCTAGGAAAACAGACAAACAAGTCTTTGCAGATCAACTAAAATTCTTCCAGCCTAATTAGTTGTGTCAGGCACAATGCTAGCCTAATTAATTTTTGTGTAGATTTCAACTGATCCTTTCGATGTGAGAATCTGATATACAGCGTGTCCATAAAGTTCGTGTGCACTTTAAAAAATTTATAGTTTTATTTGTATTTGCGATAGAAATAATTTGTAAAAAGGATTAGAAAGAAGTATATCTATATTTTTTAAGGTTTTACTAAACTTTTATTTAAGTTTCCACATGTCCTCCATCATTAGCAATACAAAGAGTAATACGATTTTGCAGTTCACGGAAAACATTTGCCAACTGATTTACAGGAATGCATTAGTTATTTTAGCTATACTTAAAACTAGGTACATTAAACTTTATAACATTTTTTACAGATTATTTCTATCGCAAATATAAATAGGATATAATTTTTTAAAATACACACGAACTTTATGGACAACCTGTATATTGAAATAAATTTTATATTAAACTTTATAACATTTTTTTACAGATTATTTCTATCGCAAATACAAATAAAGTTATAATTTTTTCAAAGAACACACGTACTTTATATTGAAATAAATTTTATCACATTAAAAGATGTCAGTAGATACTTGTATTTGAATAGGTTAGACGGACGGCTGCGTACTGGACATTTGCGTCTCAGACAATTGCGTAACAGACGATTGCAGCCCTGGGCATTTGAGTCCCTAGACAAATGCGTCACTGGATAATTGCATACCGCTGCTAATTTTTTGAAGTTAGCTTTTTTTTTTTTAAAGAGTTGTGTAATATAGAAATTTGTACACCAATACCTTCAATTGCGTTCAACATGCAGAAAGGTATTAGGTTGGTGCAAAAATAATGGCGTAATAATGTCGTTTTTTGAGGTTAAAAAAATACGTCACAAAACGACACTATTACGTCATTATTTTTGCACCAACCTAATAGTTACCATAAGTAAATAAAGAGAGAAAATTTTTCTTTTTAAAGCAAGAGAAAATTAAGCTAATAGTTTCAGTTCAGTCCAGCAGTGCGTACCACAAACATCTTATAGATTCTGGATTTTATAGATTATATTTTTATTTGGAACCAGTGGCTAAGTTCCGTAAATCAAACGCTGGTGGGAAAATATTTGTGGATGAGGAAAATTACAGCTATCACTATCCTAATAAAAACGCCGATGAAACAAAAACAAACTGTCAATGTGTAGGTAGAGTGATCTTGCAATACTGTTAATCTGCCACTGAATTTTAAATAAAAATAAACTTTTATTTTTTTAATTTTATTTGTTTTATTGCTTTAAAAAATTATGATTACTACCGTTATAAATAATCAACAGTGGTCTCCCCTTGTTTTGTTACTCTCCTCTTTAAGAGAGCTATTTCTGTTTACTGGGACTATAAAAGGACACTATACGCGAAACTCGTATTCTCAATTGAATAAAGCTTTTTTTAAAGCATACACCCGCGTACTTTTGTCATTAGCTAAGTTTTTTTTTTAATTATAAATTTATGGTAATTGCCTTTAAAAGGTACGCAATTAACCAGGGAAGCATTATTTTTATGGTTACAACTTATTTGCGTAAATACCCAGTTTTAATTAAACAGCATTAATTACATTTACCGGCCTGGATGTTCAAGAAATTTCGTAGAAAGTATGCTTTCTCCAACAGGAATCGAACCTGTATCCCATATGGAAACCGTAATTTGGCCTGACGTGCTGTTAACTCTTCAGCCATAGAGGAATTCCGGTTAGCAACATGGTATAGAAGGATGATTTAATTAATTTTTTATTTAGTTTTTTCAGCGTTTTTTCCCGTTTTGTAGGCGTAAGAGAGTACAGAATATTTCTATAGTTTTTATTGTCCCAAGTGCTTTCGGACATTTTTTTTAGACATTATTATTTTTTGGTGTTGTTAGTTTCTCTTCATGTTTGACTGTTTAAGAATGTATTTTATTTTCGTGTTGTTTTGAATAGGAGCGTTTATTCCGAGCCTTCGTGTATTGGCCGCGGCTTGAATTCGAGTGAGCATCTTCTCTATTAATGAAAGTTTAGCACTCCATTTCCACTGTTATAAAATTAATGAAGCTACAAAAACTGAATAAAAAATAAATTAAATCTTCCTTGTCTGCCATATTTAATTAAAAGGTGTTTTTAAAGAAAGGTTGCTGTCCTAAAAAACATTAATATATATATATATATATATATATATATATATATATATATATATATATATATATATATAAGTGTAATTTAATATTTTGCCGGTACAGGGTTGCAATTATTTTTTTCTTGATCTACACCTCAAACTACGTCAGAATCATTAATAAACTGAGTTCCGATAATTTGAAGTCGTCACAGTATTTGTTAACAATGGATGCGAAAGTTACGTAATCTTATATATATATACACCCATTCACAGCCTGTATATATATATATATATATATATATATATATATATATATATATATATATATATATACATACAAGCAAGATGAAAACGAACGAATTATAATTCCACTGCACGAAATATTTCATTTTAAAAGATGGCTCAATACAGAGTAGAGCTAAATATTATTTATTACAGGAGATTAAAACCAAAACATGTTAAAATCGCTACAAAATAGCAATCGTTTTTCAACGTTAAAATGTGTCTCTTCGGCTGATGGTAAATTACTGGGAATCAATATATATATACATACATACATACATACATATATATATATATATATATATATATATATATATATATATATATATATATATATATAAAAAAGGCTCAAACACTAATATTCTATGGTTATAATTTATAACATTGGAATCGTAATCACGATCAATTCATCAGACCTATTCATTTGTTTTCATCTTACCTATATATATATATATATATATATATATATATATATATATATATATATATATATATATATATATATATATATATATATATATATATATATGTGGAGAGAGAGAGAGTGAGGTTGAAATGGGTAAATTGTCGCCATTTTATATTTTTAATTTCGCCCATGCGGGATGTTTGTTTTTGATTTTTTTAACTACACAGTATAGCAGGGTCAGTTGGGCACCGTCTGTGAGAAAAAGAGCACCATGACGTAATTAAGTCCATCAGAAATTTGCAAACGGCGTGGAACTTTGGATGTAACAATACGAACATTTCAGAGTGATTGGTTGACCATCTGAGGACAGTGCAGAAAATTCGGAAAGAGTCGCATGAGTCTAATGGCGATTACAAAGATACGTTAACTCGGAAAACTCACTCTGATGTTTCTTATAAGAAACAAAACTCCTGCATTTGTTGGTGAGGGTCTCAGACTCAACACGGAGGCCTACATCAAGTGCCTTGATAAGATAGGGCAGCCCTGTGTGAAGAGGGTGTCTGCTAGAAGACTCTATGTCTGGCAACAGGACTTTGCACGATACTGCACAAACAGGAGAACACAGTCATGGCTATCATACAATTTCTCCGGCCATATCATTCCACCTAACTCCCCAAACTGCAATCTCCTTCATTATTATGTGTGGAGCGAAGTTGAGCGAGAGACCAATCAAACTCCTTGTGACAGCAAAGATGAGCTGAAGACAAGGAATAGGGCAGCATTCGCCAAATTAAACAAGAAGACCACCCAGAAGAGTTACAGGAGATTTCTTGGAGGCTGTGATTGAAGCCAATGGCGATTTTATTGAATAAATTTACTCTGCAGTATTATTTTCCTTTTGCCTCATATATATATATATATATATATATATATATATATATATATATATATATATATATATATATATATATATATATATATATATATATATATATATATATATATATATATATATATATATATATATATATATATATATATATATATATATATATATATATATATATATATATATATATATATATATATATATATATATATATATATATATATATATATATATATATATATATATATATATATATATATATATATATATATATATATTGGTCTCTGGTCGTCGGATCTGATAAAGTAATTTATTTTATTGCCCGTCTTACCCACAAAAATCTCAAAGCATTTTCCTTACAAACCGTTTTGTCTTTCATTACAACCAGAAGATGTCGAACCTAACACACGTCGGTGACTCGCCTTCTTGTCACTTTAGCCCCATAGATATTCACACCAATGAAACAAAAAGATGTCTACAAAAGCCTGCTCATTCGAGATATTTAATAAAGAAAATACTCGCTCTGGCAGGACCAGAACCTGCGTACATGCTTTGTAGATATAAATACATTCTGATTCGGCGTTACATCAGACCGCACTTCCATAGCCAAACAAGGCTTAATCGGCTATTTAAAGAGTTTACATCTCGTTCAGATCTCGTTCAAATCTCGAATGAGTCTTTGAGTAATAAAAATAACGTCGGATTAAGAAAATAAAATTCATTAATTTATTTTGATCTCCATTTCCGCCTTCCACACAAAGATATTACCCATATATACCTCAAGTGCGTCCGTCATTAACTGATTGCTAGAAACGCAACTCTTCGTGTATTTATAAAAATCTACAATGCCTAAACCGTATCACTATGTCTTTTTTCATCTCCCCCCCCTCTCTCTCTCTCTCTCTCTGATATGGGAACTCTTTTTTTTATCGCTGAAGGTCAGCATTAAGCCTCTCTCACGCCCAGTGATTCGTCACGCAAGACGCTTCACACAAGAAATCCTTATACATCACTGAGTATTCATCTGCTCTTATATTCATCGATAGGGTTATGTTAACCCAGAATAACAAAAGTAAACCAGATTTTATTGACTGACGTATATACGTAAGTAAATGCAGGGCGTAAGGTAAATTATATACATTTAGAAGAAAATAAAATAAGAAAATACTATTCTGTAGGCAGTTTTAAATTATAAAAGAAGAAAATAGGATATTTCCTGAGAAAGAAAGCAAAAAGTCCCAAAATGCTGTATACACGGTGTCCATAAAGTCTCTTTACAATTTAAAAATTATTACAAAAACAAATAAACAGACAAAATATGTTATAAAATGATGAGTAGATATTGAATTTTTTTTAATCAATTTTATACACTTCTACATGGACACCATTATTTGCACTAAGCAGTTCACTACAGTACTCGATTTCTTGCTCTGTTCGCTGTCGCGTAGCCACAACAATGGTGGCAATAGCATTAGTGATCATTTCCTTTAGATCAGTGATGTCTCTTATCTCTGTCCGATACACAATAACCTCAAAGAAAGAATAGGGAGTGATATCTGGTCAACGAAGGGGCTAGGGATTTGGGCCATCTCTTACAATCCACCGGTCTGGAAAATTTAGGGGTTCATATAAACGTACCTCCTTTCATCAACAGGAAACCTGAAAAGCACAAACGTAATGTGATTAAAAACTTTGATGACTACTGAGAACATAGACCAAAATCTAATTAAGATATCTCATCAACTGTTTTTGTCTGGTTTAGTTTGGTTTCTTTTGTTTTATGGCATTACTCAATGGGTTATTTAATGCCGACAACATTTTTAGGATAGATTCGTATGGATAGAATATGTATTCTTTGGTTTAGATTGGTTTGATTTATTTTGTTTTAGGGCATATCAACCTCAATGGGTCATTTATTGCCAACAAAATTTTGAAATATATTCATAGCGATAGTTTGGTTTGTTTTGTTTTGATTTATGGCATATCACCTCAATGGTTTATTTAATGCCAACAAAAGTTTTGTTGCTGGTAATATTTTTTTCCTTCACAAATCTATTTTTGCTAATATTTTTTTTTCTTCAAAAATGTATTGCCGGCAATATTTTTTTAAAAAAAGTATTTGTGGTATTAAAATCTATTTTTACACTTTCAAAGTGTTTTCACCCCAATATGGGCGTTAACTATTTGCCCATAGCTGGGATCCTAACAGGTTCTACCACCCCTGGTCAGGGTGGACCTGGGAACAGCAGCAATTAAGAGGTGGTTCCACGCTCCTCAAAACCTCCTTCTCAGAGGCATTGCCCAGGACGCGGATGTAGTTTATCGTCATACCCAGGACGGCAACTGTTTTTGTAATATATTTTTTACACTGTAAAGAGACATTATTGACACCCTGTAATATCACTCCTCTTACATGGGAATAAATGCTGGACAAATTCCTCACAAATGGAGTTGAATCTACAGAAATGCAGTTCTACAGATGCATACTAAGAAGAAGAAAGACGGATGATCTAAGCAACGAGATAGTTTTCTGAGTATTAAAAAGAGACAGTTGGAATTTTGGGAACCCATAGCCAGGAAAGCTTGAATGTCGGGGGTGGTGTAAAGGATAACGGCTTGAAATGAAAAATTGGAGAGCCGAGTTCAAATTCCAGTCAGGTTCGTTGCATTCCCTTGCAATTACTCTTGTAAACATATGAGTCCACCTCTTTTCCTCCCAGATATGGGTTAAATAGTAAGACTTGCAACAGAAAGCCCATTATGATCCCCCCCCAAAAAACACTTATAATCCGAAAATACATTTCGGCTTTAAATAACCTTAAAATGGTTGATAAGTGGTTAAAAAGAAAGAAATCAATCAATCAGAAACACATAATGAGGAAAGAAGACTTGGAGAACTTGACACCTACAGGTCATACTGAAGGCAAGATGGGCAAAAGAAAACATAACGAATTTGTGTAAACTAATAGCAGACCACAGACTGGGGGAGATAGAAAGAGTACAAACATTGCTTACAGCGCCAAAAGATAGGAAATTGTGGCGGTCTATTAAAGTCTACGTCCTGAAAGGACACGGAACATAAAAGAAAAAGAAGTATCATTTATCACCTTTCAGAAAAACCTGGATGTATTATGTATATTGTAATCAAGTTATCTGGCTGTAGAGTATTGCCGAATGAACAATACGCGAGTTCGATTCCCGCTGGGTGCTCGACGAATGCAGCCTTCTGCTAAGCTTAGTAATGCACGAATAAATACATGAATGTAACGTCAAGCACCTTTAGATGCTCGACAAATGCGTTACTGTACTAAGCTTAGTAAATATAATAATTATTACGCGAGAACTGAGAGCTGAACCTCTTATTCTCCGTACTCTTTCTAGCTGTGTTTAAATGTTTATAAATTTTCTCTTCACCTATGTGAGTGCATCTCTCATTGACTGAATGTGTTTCTTTCTCTATGCTTGAGTGTGTCTAACATTGCGTCAATTGGTAGAAAATACATCGAACGGTAGGGTTGACACGAGACTCAAATTACACGAGGAACCAACTCTTGTTTACGTCTTTTCTAGTAAATTGAATCACGCAACGATATACACCCTTGGGCAAATTAATTGAAACACCAGATTTACTTTACTTTCTTTTATCATACGGTCAGTTTTTAGACCCACTGGAGTGACAGGGTGTAATCGATTTCTATTTTTTCCTCAGATAATGTAATTTGCAGTGGTATGCAGTAACATGAATAAATTTTCGAGGTGTATGATGAAATTTGTTTGAACTAGAAAAATATATTGCGTCATCCGTGATTGCATTACATTTTCATCACGCTCAGGCATTATTGTCTTGACTGTCGATTAGTTGTCCTACATCCATTATCAGCGATGTACGAAAATAGTAACACGAACACTTTAGCAAGCCTTACCAGTAAGCAAATCTAAGTACTATCGACTGGCCCGGAAACTCTCCTTATTTAAATCCAATCGAGAGTTTGTGGTCAATCTGCAAGGAATGACTTCGTAAAATGGATATACGAAGTAAAAAATGTGTATTGATTTAGATTTCATTGGAAAATACGAAAAAAAAGAGTAAATAATAATGGAATTATTCGTTTTGTTTCAATTAATTTGCACAAAGGTGTAATACAGATTAATTAATTGTTTTTATTATGTCTTATCAACTATTTTCAGGTTATTTTAAAGCGGGAATATATTTTGGATTGTCGGAGGTTCTTAGTCCTACAGCTGATGTTTAGTTTCTGTAGTTTCAGTTACATAACACATACATCAGTTATCATTTAACTTACCGGCCTGAATGTTCGAAATATTTTGTAGAAAATATACTTCTCCGACAGGAATCGAACCTATAACCCCTAAGGGAACAATCATTTGATCTGATGCTCTGTTAACCACTCAGCCACAAAGAAGGTCTATTGCGTAAAGTCCGAATTACTGTTTATATAAAAAAATCTTATGTAAGAATGGCCAGCCAGGCGTCCTCCTGATTTCTACACCCTGTGACATTTTTAATTTTGGTGTTGGTTAAAGGAGCAAGTCTGCTATACCAAACCAAGACTTTGAAAAAACTTAAAGGGCGAAGACAAGAAGTTATGTCTTCCATACCACAAGAGTTCCTGGGGAAAACAGTTGACGCTATTTCTGGGCGACTCGAGAAACAGTTGCAAAATCTGGAGCCCATATCGATTTTGAAATAAAGCGTCATGCTAAACGATATCCTCTCGTATCCATTTCTTATAAAATAAATTAATAAATTAATTATTAGTATTTTAAAATGGGGAATTACTTTTCAATCAAGCAGTCAATCAATAATATATATATATATATATATATATATATATATATATATATATATATATATTTGGTTGTAATAGATGTGAGATTTGTGACCCTGGGTTTCACGCTTTTCTCTGACGATCGCTAAAGCGTGAAACCCAGGGTCACAAACTCCCATCTATCCAACCAAATATGTTAGCTCTATCTCTGATATTGAGCGCTTTCTAATAAGTACCGCGCATATAATATATAAATAATTATACATACTTATATTTATTTATATTTATATACACTTTTCACACACACACACACACACACACACACACATATATATATATATATATATATATATATATATATATATTAATGTTTCAATATTTTTTTATTGTTCAAAAAAAATATTTATATATATATATATAATTAAAAAAAAATGGAAATTTTCTTGATCAGGATTTCCAAAAATGGTCTCTACCTTCTATGGGACTATCCAGGTGATCCGTAAAGACACTGGGGGTAAAAAGGTGGTTGATTTAATTTTAATCTCGCCTGTTTCCAAGAAAATGCTCATTAGGGTTCGTCGATTTTGGAAACGTGGTATTGCACACTATTTGAAAGGTGTGTTTTTATATACTAAATAAAGACACAAAACATTATTTTCCAAACCCTTAACATTTTCTGAGAAAACAAGTTGGCATCTCATTCCGGTGATCAATGAAAACCTTATAGCACAGCCTTATAAAATTTATGATTTACTGAAACATTACATATTGAATATTATCAAGATGTATGACGCCCTGTCACTGGGGCTGTGGAATACTCCGACTGCACCTCTGCAGAGGGGTAAGACCCCTCCCTCAATGGGGCGTCCCTGGTATGACGATAAACTACATCCGCGTCCAAGGGAAGACAATAAACTACGTCCAACAGCAAGGCCTCTGATCAGGAGGTTTTCAGGAGCGTGGAACCACCTCTTAATCGCTGGTGTTCCCAGGTCCACCCTGACCCGGGGTGGTAGCACCTGTTAGGGTCCCAGCTATGGACAAAGAGTTAACCCTGAAACTGAGTTAAAAAGCATTATAAAAGTGTAAAAATAAGTTTTAATACCAGAAATACTTTTAAAAAAATTATTACCAGAAATTAATTTTTGAAAAAAATACTATTACCAGCAATACGTTTTTGAAAAAAAAAATTTCCAGCAATACATGTGATTGTATTAAAAAATATAAGTAATTGAAAAATGGTTCAAATATATATGTATACATACACACCTTTTTTTTTTTTACCAAACTATCGCTATGTATCTATTTCAAAAATTATGTTGGTATTAAATGACCCACTGAGGTTGATATGCCATAAAACAAAACAACCAGCCGACCAAGATGCATGACACAATAACATTATTACTAAATCATTGTGCCATCAAATAAGACCTTCATTTATTCCAATGGAAACTACACTAAACAATTTAGTTATATTATGTTGTAATATGATACTGTTATTATTATTATTGTTGTCTGCTTTCGCATAGTTTTCGTTTTTAACTGGATTTCTTGCATTATGTGTTCTTCATCAAATCGTACGACCTCAGACAGATCGCACTTTTCAGAAATTATTTGCAGTGCCAAGCAACGAAGACTTCTGAAACAATGGGATACTAGAATTTATTTCGAATGTAGAACTGGAAAAATGTCAAACATCGCATGGTCAAAAGTTCTGTTGCCGCTGATTGACTCACTAAATTAGTTATCTGAATGTTCATTCCTCGAAATAACTTCAGAACCAGGACTTTGTTGTATGTTTTTGTTTGTTTTGTTTGTTGGGTTCATTTTATTTATTTATTTTTTTTTTATTTATCTATTTAAAAAATTTTTTTTTGCTATTTTTTTTTTAAATAAACGTATATAGACTTTCCTATCGCCCGATCTATAATCTTTACTCCTCTCGTGAACAGAAGAGGTTCATACGTTGTTTCCTATTTAGGAAGATATTTCAGGTTCCTTTCCTTTAATTAGCCCTTAATAAGGGCTTTTCATTAATTTTTTGAGATATGTGTGGATGGTGGCAACTTCTCTTCATACTGAGGGTAATGGGTTGGCAGTTTTCTGGTTGCTGATAGTTAGGAGCCCGAAACCTTGCGTAGCGTCTTGAGAGGCTGCTCTCATAAACAGTCGCATAATACCGGGGTTCTTGCAGTGCCATATCGCGCATGGAAGGGTGTCCCTGCAAGCACCTCCAGCGGACAAGCCCGAGGCCAAACTACGTTGCAGTCTTGCACATGTTACATTAGACGACCGACTGCTACTTCTATCCTACGCCTTTCCTTACCAAACAACAGACCATTACTATAAGATACCAAAGATATATATCTAAACCAACTTAACAAAAATCACCTAAAGCCCTCAACCTCTCTTTCTCCAACATTTGTGGTATTCCTACTAATTTATAAAGTGTGGAATCGTTCCTCTTCGAAAAATCTCCGGACATCCTAGTACACTATGTAACTAATCTTTTTAAATCCCTCCTCTGATTTCTCGATTCCTGGCTATCTTCCTCTCAGAAATGACTGTAATGTCCACATGCATGGCCTGGAGTTTTATATCCGTGAACATCTCCTGCTGGTTAGGAACACTCTCTTGAATATCAACACCATTCTTACATGAGTCTCCGTTTCTCTCTACTTTATCTAGTCAGTTATCTCTTCCTTCTCTGCCATTCCCCTTCCTCTCACGACTGTTGCGTGCTAGATAGTATTTTAGATAATATAAATAAGGCTATTTCCCTATACACGTTTGCATATATATTTATGTTTGGTGACTTTAATGCCCAAGACGCCAGGTGACTTAAACACTCTGTTACTGGCAATTCTTGAGTTTAAACCCTTAAGTTTTCAATCACACAATCTCTCAAGCAAGTGGTGGATTCCCAATGCGTTTTCTCAGTAACCCTCATGGACAGGCTTCTCTTCTAGATCTCTTTTTTTTAACTCTATCCTGGACTTATATACTATGCTTCACTGCCCTCTTGGCAACTCTGATCAGGCGGTAGTTTGTAAACATCTCTTTTCCCTCCTCTACCATCTATGTATCTATCTCAATCTGTTTAAATCTATCTGTCTCTGCATATATATTTATAAATCTGTTTCTATCTATCTATATATCAATCAATCAAATTATCAATCTATCTCAATCTGTTTTTATCTATCTCTCTAAATATATATATAAGGAGATAGACAGAGAGAGAGAGAGCGAGAAAAAGAGAGAGATCTATCTACCTATCTATCTATCTATCTATCTATCTATCAAAACATTTTCTATCTCAGTCTGTTCATATCTATCTATCTGTCAATCTATGTGTCTATCTCCATGTTTCTATCTATCTGTCTATATATATATATATATATATATATATATATATATATATATATATATATCTGTTTCTATCTATCTATCAATCTATCTTAATCTGTTTTTATCTCTCTAAATATATATATAAAGAAAAAGAGAAAGAGAGAGAAAGAGAGATCTATCATCTATATTTATATCTATCTATCTATCTATCTATCTATCTATCTATCTATCTATCTATCTATCTATCTATCTCAGTCTGTTCATGTCTGTCTATCGATTTAACTAACAAAAAAATCTACCTATCTCAATCTGTTCATATCTATCTATCTATCTATCTATCTAGCTCTAAATCTGTTCATATCTATATATCTGTTTCTCTATTTAATTATGTATCTGAATCTGTTTCTATCTATCTATCTATCTATCTATCTATCTATCTATCTATCTATCTATTGATTCATTGCAAATAATGATGAATATAAAATTGAATAAAATGTATTTGTTCTTTATTTTATATTTTTAATTTCGAGCATGGGCGTTGTTTTTTTTGTGCTACTATATTGGCATTTAGGTCCCAGCTTTTACTGTTGAATTAGTTAAATGTAATCGCCACTTCTACTCCAACAGTTTCTTTTCTCGCACTTCTCCCCTGTGAAAGTCCATTCAGTTTCCTTGCTTCCCTGATAACTATAACCTTCAAAAATTTAAATGAAAACTCAATCGCCATCTTCTATCTTCTTGAACCCCGTTAAATTTTTATTCTTTCCTTGGTCTCCACCTCCTATACCCAGTCTTTTCTCTCACCTTTACTCTCTGTAACTCCTTGCGCACTAGTGGCATTCCCGCCTTGCTTGCGGTGAAATGGTTAAAAATATCATGCTAGGAACTTAAATCCGAGACCTTGTTATCGATTATTATTATTATTATTATTATTATTATTTCCTTTGATTTCTTGTTTGTACTCATTTCTTTCCGGGTCCCGCCCAGAGACCTAAGGACAGAAATGGCATCGTGATATTTTCCAATCAGCAATGAAAAAACAAAATAAACACAACATGAAAACATATTTTACGCAGATGAAGCCCTTCGTGAGGTGTGGGCTGTATTCGTGAGAACAATTTTTGGATCTCTTTAAGGTATGGGCTTCCAGGAATCCCTTCAATAATTCTTTTGGGATCTTTTCCAACCAATCCGAGGGCTTCGACTATAACAAGCATTGTGGATGTTCCCCTGTGCCAAATTTGTGAGATTTCGATTTCAAGGTCTTTGTATTTTGATAGCTTTTTGAAGATCTTCCAAGATACACTGCAGTCTGCAGGGACTGCCATATCAATAAGAAGGTCTCTAATAACACTGTCTGGGCGATTAGATTTCATTTTAATGTCTGTGTGTATTGGGTACTCACATAAAATTATTATTATTATTATTTCCTTGGATTTCTCTTGTATACACAGTACATTCCGGGTCCCAACCAGAGACCTAAGATCTGAAATGTCTTTATCACATTTCCCAGTGATCATTTTTATAAAAAGCAAAGAACAAAACAAATCATTATTATTATCGTTATTATTATTATTATTATCGTTATTATTATTGTTATTATTATCATTATTATTATTATCATTAGTAAGATTATCATTATTATTTTTATCAATATTATCATTATTTTTATCATCATTATTATTATTATAATTATCATTATTATTATTATCGTTAATATTATTGTCATTATTATTATCATTATCATTATTATTATCATTATTATTTAATTATTATTATTATCATTATTATTATTATCAATATTATTATCATTATTATTATTATTATTATTATCATTATTATCATTATGATTATCATTATCAGCATTATTATTATTATTATTATTATTACTATAATTATTATTATTCAAACTAACACGTCTAGTTTAGGAAGAGAAATCGAAAGTGTCACATTCATTAAACATTTCTCTACCCACGATATTTGTCCTAATCCCACATTAGTGAATACAATGTCAAATCGATCCGTAACTTCTTAAAGAATTATTTGTACTTTGGTTTTCTTTACAAATGTCAAGTTCGAAACTGTCTTTACGTCAATGATAATTATGTACTAGGAAGAATTAATAAAAACAGAGCAATATAAATAATCTGGAGTTATCAATGGTGTATACACAATTTCGAACTCGATGTTTGTCAATTAAAATAAAGTACAGGTAAATCTTTATGAAGTCGAGGATCGATTTAAAACTATTAGGAACAGGACAGCAATTCTAAAATGAAAAACGCGACAAATTCGGTTCTGACAAATGCCGTGGGTAGATGAACCTTCTAATTACTAATCTGCATAAATTCGTAAAAAAAAAAATCCTATATTTTACGAGAGGACTAGTTAACATTGTTAGTACTAATGTCACCACATCAAACAACTAATCTAATCTTCCTGTGACAGAAACGTTTAACGGAAATTTGTTTAATCAAACTGACAATCGAATTATATTCCCTTACTCGACGATATTTTATAATATAGTGTGATGTTTACAATAGTGGATATATTCAAGCAACGGACTTGCAGTAAAATCTGTGTGAAGCTCGGCAAAACTAATAGTAAATCCCACGAAATAATTCACCAAGATTTTCGGCAATAGTCTTCAAGTGAAACTTGTGTTTTTGAGTGGCTCAGGTGTTTCAAGTTCGACGGGGTATCGATAGTTGTTCAGGATGACCAATTACAAGCAAACGCTGGAAAATGTGAAAAAAAAAAAAAAAAAAAAGAAACAAAATAAAGACAAAAACAAAATACCCCGTGAGCACATCCACGACGGCCGTCGAAAAACAGTTTACCCACATGAGTGGAAAATGTTATGGATAATACCAAGAGATCCGCTTCGGGAACTTTCCGATATGAATTGTATATATGTACATCGTTTTTTTTTTTTTCACACTATCTATCTATCTATCTATCTATCTATCTATCTATCTATCTATCTATCTCTTTGTATATGTATATATCTATCTATATATCTGTTTATCAGTCCCTTCTTATCTATCTATCTATCTATCTATCTATCTATCTATCTATCTATCTATCTCACTCATGTCTGTCTATCGATTAAACTAACAAAAAATTACTCAATCTGTTCATGTCTATCTATCTAGCTAGCTAACTCTAAATCTGTTCATATCTATATATCTGTCTCTCTTCTTTGTATCTGAATCTGTTTCTATCTATCTATCTATCTATCTATCTATCTATCTATCTACCAAAACGTTTTCTATCTCAGTCTGTTCATATCTATCTATCTATCTATCTATCTATCTATCTATCTATCTAAATATATATATATAGAAACACAAAGAGAGAGTGAGAGAGAGCAAGAGAAAGTGAGAGATTTGTTCATATCTATCTATCTATCTATCTATCTATCTCACTCATGTCTGTCTATCGATTAAACTAACAAAAATTTACTCAATCTTTTCATATCTAGCTAGCTAGCTAGCTAACTCTAAATCTGTTCATATCTATATATCTGTCTCTCTCTCTACCTGTGTATCTGAATCTGTTTCTATCTATCTATCTATCTATCTATCTATCTATCTATCTATCTATCTATCGATTCATTGCAAATAATGATGAATATAAAATTGAATAAAATGTATTTGTTCTTTATTTTATATTTTTAATTTCGAGCATGGGCGTTGTTTGTTTTTAATTCTGTCGACTGCACATTATAGTAGGGTCAGTTGAACACCGTCTGTGAAAAAAAAGTACACCATGACACAATTCAATCCTCCAGAGATTTGGAAACAAGCTTGCTGTACTGCTTAGCTTTCTCACCGGAAGACAACTCACTCTTAACATACTGATAAGGAAAGAAATCTTAAATTTATTGGTGTGGGCCTCAGACACAACACGTAGGTCAGTATCAAGTGCATTGAGCAGGGTAGTGCTTCCCTGGGTCAAGAGAATCCAGTAATGGCTATCAGACAATTTCTGCGACCACATCACCACTTACATCTGGCAACCTAACTCACAATCATTCATTAAAAGTTGCAAATATAATTGTTTTTTGTATGAATGATTCATGAATTTATAAATTATATTTGCACCTTTTAATTGAAATTAAAATAACTGATCCCACGTGCAACTCTCGGATAATAAGTGTGGCATTACTGTAATTATTGAACAATATAGTTCATGCCATATTCACAGAAAATCTGCCAGTAAAACAGAATTCTCTTATTGTTATATTTGTACAAAAACGCACAACCTTAAAATTTAAATTCAAACTCAGCGTTGCGACCGCACGTTCCAAAACAATAACACATTTCTCATAGCATTTTTTCGGATTGCATCTCTATTTTCGTTGTCCTCTTATTACTGAGAAGTTAAAACAAGAACAAAATCTACTTCCATACCTGATGATGTCAGTAGGAACAGACGAAAGCTTGTAAAAAATTAAAAAGACCTTATGCAACTGGAATTTATAAACAGGGATCATATCATTCATATACAGGTTCGGGGTTGGTGTATCTTATTTATGTGTTTGCGACGATGTATTCTCGCCATTTAAATCATTAACCTCTATATTTGTTTTTTGTATGAATGATTCATGATATATATATATATATATATATATATATATATATATATATATATGGCCTCCCAAACCCCAACCCCACGTCCTCGTTGTGGGAGGTGGAAACAGGTAATGCTGTCTAACAGGGCACTGGTGAAGCTGTGACTGGGTTAGCAGGCCGAGAGTGGGTAAAAAAAGATAAGACGCACGCACACACACACACACACACACACACACACACACACACACACACACACACACACACACACAAACACACACACACACACACACACACACACACACACATATATATATATAATAACATTGGCGACTCTAGGTCATCAATGTCTGTCGGGCTTATTACAATGTTCAACAAAATATACAATTGATATAAATTCGATGCTAAAATGATCCCTTTTCTCTAACTACATATAATTTTAAAAATATCTGTGCATGAAATTAAAAAAAAACACATTTTCTTATTTTAACATGAATTGTAATAATTCTATAAAAATAAAAATTTATTTAAAAAAATGTCTTCCAGACACCTAAGAAAAAAGTATGACGACAAATCCAGAAAAGTTTCTTTTTGAAAATAACGTGTCTGGAGTGTCTGTATATATGTGTATGCGATAGGGGTTTTATGTGTCTCTCTGTCTGCATTTTGTTTATGATCAGTATTGTTGACTGATATCATATTTCCTCAACACTACACCTGTCACACTCATCACCCTACCCTCTCCGTCGACGAATTAAGGCTGTCTTTGATTTCACCGACTTTAGGTCGGGATGAATTTAATTTGGCCGTTTTCAATTGATACGTTGCACTAAAAAAACTTATACTGTTCGGAATAAATTATTTAAAATGGACATTTGAAAAGAATAAGTTGAAATAAAAAGGTGTTCTTTGAAAAGCAGTGCATACAAGTCATACAAATTAGTTATTAAAGTAAAGCAAGAAATACATGCTTATTAAATGTCTCCAGCTCAGGTATATGTAGCTCTACTAGCCACGTTAATTTTATTTCATTCTTTCCTCTTTTTTTTTAGTTACTTTGCTTCTTTGTTTTTTCTTCCTTTCTTTTTTTTATTATGAACAATATTAACGAAATGTATTTCGGTCAATATTTTCAGGCAAGTATTTAAAAGTTAATTTTGGATGCAGCTGAAGTCATGAATGAAAACGACGCACTCCGAAAGATTTTTGTCGTTTTGAAATGGATATACTTGAATCTTGATTCATTCGGGCTAATCCCGGCAAGCCCGACCACCGGAGTCAGCACTATATATATATATATATATATATATATATATATATATATATATATATATATATATATATATCAAATAAACGGACCTAAAACTATTCAAATATTATTTTTTTACTTTTAAAACGTTTATTTGATTATATATATATATATATTAAAAACAAAGTATAATATTTTTCTCAATAAATCCACATTACAACCAAAAACGTTTGCGGCGCCCCTCTTCTTTTTAATATACATTTTTTTTCTCTCGTTGGAACCACTACAACATATTTCCTTTTATATATATATATATATATATATATATATATATATATATATATATATATATATATATATATATGAGGGAGATGTTATAGTTGTCCCAACGAGAGAAAAGTGTATATTTTAAGCCCGAGAAAATTTTGATGACTACTACACACAAAAGACTTTGGAAAACATGAGGAAAAAGTATTTCTTTTTAATAATATGTGGAATTTATCACTCTTCCCCTGATGAAGGGCGAAAGACCAGCAACGCGTTTAGCATAAGTATGGAAAATAAAGTATGATATATATTTTAAAAATCCAAATTGAAACCAAAAGCTTTTGCTTCTTCTCTCTCTCTCTCTCTCTCTCTCTCTCTCTCTCTCTCTCTCTATATATATATATATATATATATATATATATATATATATATATATATATATCACTTAATCCCTGTTTATTTTAAATATAAAATAAAACATTAATCCCCGTTTATTTTAAATATAAAATATAAAACCCGTCTATTTTAAATATATATATATATATATATATATATATATATATATATATATATATAGTAATGCTTGTATAATATGTAGACTGCGCCAGCATTACGTTAACCAGTTATTTTTATTAAAATGTAAAATACCATTTCTACATTCAATACCATCAGTTGAGAAGACAATTAAGTGTTGAAACAAAATGGCTATTTTCTAGTGGTGTTATAACATGCTTATTTTATGATTTTTGAATAAATAATATTTGCTCTACTCTGTATTGAACACTCTTTTAAGAATAGTATTTTGGGTTATTTTAATTTTATTCCATCTACACAATCCTATATATATATATATATATATATATATATATATATATATATATATATATATATCCAAGTATAGGATTGTGTATACAGAATAAATTCCAATAAACAACAAATACTATTCTTAAGAAAGTGCTCAATACAGAGCAGAGCAAATATAATCATTTTTTAAATTATAGCATAACAATGTTATAAAATCACTACAAAAATAGCCATTTTGTTTAGATTAAATTTAAAATTGGTAATTTTTAATTTTGTATTTTATAGTACAATTTAATATTTATTAGTTAGAACGAATTCTTTTTTAGTCTAAGCTTAGCACTAAAGCATTAATTAATTATTATAACCAAATTTCATTGTCAAGTTTTTTGAATTCTCATATACTTGTATTTTGATTGGTCATTGCAACTTATGTAACAGCGTTTCCCCTAGTGGAGTGTTTGGTATATTTGAACCTTTTAAAACCGTTTATTCTACATTCAACATCATCATTTGATAAGACACCGGAAGTGTTGAAACAAAATGGCTATTTTTGTAGTGATTTTATAACATATTTATGTTATAATTTTCGAATAAATGATTATATGTGTGTGTGTGTGTGTGTTGAGTGGGATGTGAGTACATTTTGTACTCGTGACGTTCTGCCTGTTTTTTTTTTTTGTTTATTTTTTTTTTGGTATCTCTTATTACCGAATTCCTAGAAATAAATTTAACAGATATTCTGAATGGTGACTTTTTTTCCTGTTAAGAATGTACAATTCCTTTTGATTATAATTCCAGTTCATGTAATTAACGTTCTATGGCGTCGTAAAATTCCTCATTGCAAAATTACCATTAATTATAATTCATTATGCGAGACATAAATTGGTATGTAACATTTGTTTCGTTATTATGCAACCCAATTATGAAGTGTCATTACTTAGAAAATCGTGCGTATTCCTCTCAATCAATTTTACCCCCAAAAACTCAAAACCTGTCTTTGACAAAATTGTTCTTAAATTAGATTATGCTGTTCCCAAATTCTATCTCAAGGTCCTTATACTCATTCAATTGTTAACAGACAAGTAGACGTGGATTCCGCTAATTATCCTTCTCTTTTAGTTCTATACCCTTTCAGGTTGGTGATCTCGCTCTTCAGAGCTTGCTATTCTTCACTATCTGTAAAACCATGGATTGCTTGGACCATTCTTGGGGAATATGTTGAAAGCCTTTTTTTTGAGGGGGGCATCATCTACGGGTTTTAATTTAGAATTGTCTTTCTCATAGATGGGTTGCTTATTTAGCGCCGTAAAACATTTAGAAATGAAATGGTAAACGAAGTTTATAAATTAATCTAAACGTTACTAAAATGGTCAATACTCAGATTCAGGACTCGCATTGTGAATTACTTTAACTGAAGAATTTAGCTGAATTCCTCTAATTTCTCAATGTTTTTTCTCTCAATTCTCTCACTCACTCCACCTTTGCGTTTTAGTTATTACCTTGCTTAGGGTGAAATAATAGTTCAACAAAAGAAATTGTTGGTCATGATATTTTCGTATGGCACTGATGTCGCTAGTCTGTTGAAATCTAAGGCCCACTAAGTGGTCAGAAGAGAAGTCTACAAAGTGTGGATATGTAAGTAGGAATTTCGAAGAGAAAGGTTAAAAGTTCAAATGATTCTTGATGTTCAGATTGGACACAAGTGTAAGAAACGAGAAGCGTTAATAGACATT